AGAGTCACAACCCACTCCTTCCCATTACATCGAAGTATTATTTTAACCGAAATAGGAGGAATATAGACACAAATACTCTTTGGAAGAAACTACAAGAACATAATGTAAAGATAGGGTTCATGGTTCATTGCTAGTTGGGGATAATCAACAGTTATCAAATCATGAAAATTTAAGAAAATAATATTACCAGATAATCACGCTTAATGTACGATCTGTGCACGTTCATCCGAAACCATGGATAGAATTCCTCTTCAATCCATCCGTTAGCATTCATGTTAAGAGTATCGATTTTGTTCGGAGAATTGGAAATGTTGTTCTTGTGTTTAAAAGATATATAAAGAGTCGAAACTTTCAATTTCCCTCCAATCATATTTTTACTTTTCCCTTTGTTTCCCTACGAAAAATGTATTTGACATTTTAGTCCAAAAATGTCATCTTGTTTTCCCTCCTAATAAAGAAGCTAGAATACATTTTAGTCCTAAAATTTAATCATGTTTTCCCTTTTATTATAATTAAGATTAATCAATAAAAATATATAGAATTATATATTGACTATTATATAAATAGGACGATATGTATAGCCTTAATGAATGAAATTATATAAACGGCTATTATATGAACGGTCAATATTACTATGAAGCGTAACGATCTAATTAGCATAGGTTATATGACTACAACCTTATTAGTCAATGGGCTTATATGGTTGCTATAGGCCGATACGTATGACCTTAATATAAACGGTCAATATTACTATGAAGCGCAAGGATCTAATTAACATAGGTTATATGAATACAACCTTATTAGTCAATGGACTTATATGGTTGCTATAGGCCGATACGTGTGACCTTAATATAAACGGCTATTATATAAACGGTCAATATTACTATGAAGCGCAGCGATCTAATTAGCATAGGTTATATGACTACAACCTTATTAGTCAATGGATTTATATGGTTGCTATAGACCGATACGTATGACCTTAATATAAACGGCTATTATATAAACGATCAATATTACTATGAAGCGCAACGATATAATTAGCATAGGTTATATGACTACAACCTTATTAGTCAATGGACTTATATGGTTGCTATAGGCCGATACGTATGACCTTAATATAAACGGCTATTACATAAACGGTCAATATTACTATGAAGCGCAACGATCTAATTAGCATAGGTTATATGACTACAACCTTATTAGTCAATGGACTTATATGGTTGCTATAGGCCGATACGTATGACCTTAATATAAACGGCTATTACATAAACGGTCAATATTACTATGAAGCGCAACGATCTAATTAGCATAGGTTATATGACTACAACCTTATTAGTCAATGGACTTATATGGTTGCTATAGGCCGATACGTATGACCTTAATATAAACGGATATTATATAGACGGTCAATATTACTATAAAACGCAACGATCTAATTAGCATAGGTTATATGACTACAACCTTATTAGTCAATGGACTTATATGGTTGCTATAGGCCGATACGTATGACCTTAATATAAACGGATATTATATAGACGGTCAATATTACTATAAAACGCAACGATCTAATTAGCATAGGTTATATGACTACAACCTTATTAGTCAATGGACTTATATGGTTGCTATAGGCCGATACGTATGACCTTAATATAAATGGCTATTATATAAACGATCAATATTACTATGAATCACAACGATATAATTAGCATAGGATATGTGACTACAACCTTATTAGTCAATGGACTTATATGGTTGCTATAGGCCGATATGTATGACCTTAATATAAACGGCTAATATATAAACGGTCAATATTACTATGAAGCGCAACGATCTAATTAGCATAGGTTATATGACTATAACCTTATTAGTCAATGGACTTATATGGTTGCTATAGGCCGATACGTATGACCTTAATATAAACTGCTATTACATAAACGAACTTATATTAGTCAATTACATAAACAGACTTAGAAACGGACTTATATTAGTCAATTGTTTTTTTGGTGAAATAGAAAGATAGAATCGGGAGAGAGTACTAAGAAAGAGAGGAGGAACAGATATGGGCACTGATTTTACATAGGAAAGTTAAATGGGTAGGTTTTGTATTCAAAGAGGAACGGTTATAATGCAACTAATAAAATTCAATGCAACTAGTACCAATAACTTGAAAGTCCAGCAAGCAATTAAATATACTTCTACAATGCATACACAATGATTGGGAATAAGAAGGGTATATGGTTGCGGAAAATATATATGTTCACATACTCAAACCTAAAGACCTAAAACACACTCACATACTCAAACCCTAAACTATGGACGCCTCTCCCTCTACCAAACGAGCCCTATCTTACTCTTCTACTAGCAGTGATGCCCTATATTACTCTTCTACTAGCAGTGATAATGAAGAAGAGAATCCTCCAACATTTGAAGTGGTTATGACTGATTCATACATCAACTACAACGATCTGATAAATTATTATGTCCTTTAAACTTTATTTCTTTGAATGTTACAACAACTTCTTGAGTTAATCCTAAATGAATTTTTCTTTTACATAAAATACTTTTGTTTCTTATACCTTTAACTCTAGAAAATATATATGCACCAGTATTGTATATCTTGATTCAGTTTCATATTTTTCGAAACTTAATAGTAATGTTTTTTTAAGTATATTCCAAGAAAAATCTACAAGCATCTTCCTCCAACAGTAGAACACGCGTTGCTTCACTATCGTGGCAAAGAGTGGTATGTAAATATGAGCGTTGGTGATCAAAGAAGGTTCAAGGTAGGCTGAAAACTTTTTATTTTGGAGAATTATATCAAGCGAGGTTTCGTCGTCAAATTTACGTTGGTTGATGTTTCACCACTGCGTGTTGTCTTCAATGTTTAAGTGAAGGGAGAAGGAACTTCATACGGTTGAAATTGATTAGTTTCTAGGATGTATTTGTGTGATTTATCCTTTTATTATTTTTTATTTTCATGTACGTTGCTTTAGTTCTGGTTGTTGTGCTTTATTCTGTTGAAGTATTATGTTATGAAATTTCAATCTTCATATTGGTCTTCTTTACTATAATATTTGTTTTTTAATTAACATTCAAAAAAATCGAAATGGAATGATTAGTGATCATGTATTGGAAGAGTAAATGCATCATAGGGAAGTTAAATGGGTTGGTATGTTATTAATGTAGTGTAAGAGTAAATGCTACATAGAAAAGTTAAATGGGTTGGTTTTGTGAGTAAAGAGGAACGGTTGGGAAGAAGAATAGCAGTAGTTATTCAACTGGGAAGAAGAAGGGTCGCAGTTAATGCGTCCTCTTCTACTAGGAAGAAGAAGGGTCGCAGTTAATGCAATAGGTGTATCAATTGATGCATTGAGGTAGACTACTCTCCAATTAATGCAATAGGTGTATCAATATAATGCAGCTACCTAGCATTAGGCTAAGGTATGACAAGGAAAACTTTTTTGTAATCTAAGGTCTATTTTAAGTTTATAGTATGCAATGTATTATAATTGGAGGTTAGGCCAAGCCCCCCTCCAAATATGGTTTTTGTCGGAAGTTGAATATATCCCAGCCCAGGAATTGAAGGGCATTTTAAAAAAAAAAGTCCTCTAAATTAAAAGCAAGTAACAATAAAATGAAGTATTTAACAATGATAATTATAATACCACACGTTTAAACTTATTACAAAACAAAGTCAATAAATTAAATAAAAATCTATCTCAAATCAAATTAAATAAGTTTCAAACTTAAATCATCTCAAACTAAAAGGTCAAGTCTTCTACTTTCCAGTTTGCTTCATCGTTTATATCAGGCAAGCTACTCTGTGGTGGTACTGTTGCATCATCTTGCTGTAATTAGAGTAAATAAAACTAATAAGCAATGTATTTATCAAAAAAAAATAAAATAATTAATCAAATTTGTTACTTCTACCACCACCTCTACAACCTCCTCTAGCATGGCCTCTACCATCACCTCTACCACCACTTCTACCACCACCTCTACCACCACCTCTACCCCTCATGTTACCTCTAACTCCATTTTCAACACCCGTTTGTGAACTTCTAAAGTATGAATCAATTCGCCCTCTATATCTATTCAATCTTGGACGTCCACGAGAAGCTACGTATCTAGGATCTCTTATATTTCTTCCTTCACCCTCACCCTCACCCACACCATCATGTGTATCTTCCAAATTCCAATTTGGAACTATCATATCATCATCCCAATTCAAAAGGTCATGCTCCAATCTGTTCAAATCATACTTAATGTATTGCCTCATCACTTCAGTGTCCAATGCAATATCACAAACCCGTTCAAAATGCTTTAATAGTTCCCTGTACATCATGTATTCATAAGTCATATGTGGGTAACCTCCTAGAAAGAAACATTTCAAGTACGGACGAACAACATCTTTTCTCCACCTTTTCAATATATACCTCTCATTAACGTTTTTAATCCTCTTATGAGACAACACCTTAAATATGGCAACATATAATACCTTTTGTTTCAAATCACTTGCAGCTGCAACTTAGATATTCGTCAATAGATGTATATTCAACCGTGAATACAAATGGATCTCTAGTGTTAAAACTCATGAGTGAAGAATCTGTTATAATGTATTTCTCCACTCCAGGGTTTGCTTGATGATCTTCAGGGGTGCTGATTTCACAATGGAACAGTTTCCTTAACTGTACTTGAAAAAATTCAAACACTTCACGAGTATAACATGCTTGAAGTTTTTCCTCCTATGTGAATTCAGACAAACATTTTGGTTCAAAGCACCTCGACCTATATTCAGCTTCCAATTCTTTCTCGAACTTAGCTCTTATGGCTAACTCATATTGCTGAACAAATAGCTTCAAAATGCTTTGGCGGGTGATAAATCCATCAAAGAAAGCATGCATTCCTTCACTTCTTTGTGTGGACAACATCCCAGCCCAAAAGTGATAATTTAGGTATACAGGAACCCATTTTTCCTTCTCCAAATAAAGCTTATAAAATCAATCCCTTCCATCTAAGTTATATTTTGCAATATAATCAGTCCATCTTCTCTCAAACTCAGCAATGTTAATGCTATCAAGGACTAAAGCCTTAAATTCTACCTTTGCAATCTTACCATCAAGAACTCCGCTTAACTTCGTAGGCAACTTTGCGAATATGTGCCATATACAATATCTATATACCGTATTTGGAATCAATGCATTGATGGCAGCCTTAATAGTATCACATTGGTCAGTCATGATAGCTAATGGACAAACATTGTTTAAAGCCCTAAGCCATGTAGAGAGCATCATTTTGCAACTTGTTATATCCTCACTAGACATAAGAGCACATCCCAAAAGTATGGACTGCCTATGCTGATTGACACCAACAAATGAAGCAAATGGCATATTGTATCGATTCACAAGGTATGTGTTATCAAGGAATATTACATCATGGAACTCCTCATATGCAACCTTAGAGTGTGAATGAACCCATACAATATTACGACGTAGACCAAAACTATCCACATCTACATAGTAGTAAAATTCCCTATCTTTTTGCCGCATGTCACTGAAGAACTTGAGTAATGATTGTGCGTCCCCTTCTTGCAACTGAAGCTTTCTACTCTTCAAAATATACTTTCTACAGTCCTTTGGTGTACAACCCAGATTTTCGGGGCTACCAGCAAGTACTTCAGCGACTCTTATATTTTTTGAGGGTCTTAAGCCAGCAATATCTTTGGCTACAAGAGTTCTCTTAAGAGACTTACTAAGCGATGTCCAGCCATCAATCGCGATAGTGCTGGTTTCAATTGATGATTATATTTTTTAACCACCTTTGAAACACGCCATGAACCATTCTCCTTCAAAATTTCATTTATTCTAGCACGACAGTTCCTCCTCTTGGTAACATGCTTATTCCTTGGTTTTCTAGACCTATCACAACCATATTGCACATGCCTAACAATATCACCACCTTTTTTGTTTGATATTCTTTTGACAATGCAAAACCCTGATAATCTTGCATGTTCTTTGTAAAAATCAAACATAACATCCTTATTACTGAACCGCATCCCAGTAATTGGACCAATTACTAGATCTTCTTCATTGAACTCATTAGACATTTCCCTGTCCTCTCAGCCTTCTCCCTCTTCCTCTAAATAATGGTGGTCGTCGTCGTCGTCGTCATCATCATCATCATCATCATCATCATCATCATCATCATCATCATCATCATCATCATCATCGTCATCGTCATCGTCAATATCATCTTCTCCATCATTGAAGTTGCGGTCCGAATCAATGTTGACCGACTCATCTTCATTCATCAAACTGTCGTCCGAATTCAACCCCAATGATATGTGTAATGCATTCCTTAGTTGCTCCGACCTAGTTTCTAGGCTGTTATTCGGGTTTAATGGCTCCAAACTAGTTTCTAGGTTAGCATTCATGTTTAGGTTAGGGGAAGGGTGGTGAATTATGTGGTTAATAAAAGCTCTCTTAACATAAGTATATGGTATAACAAGGTATACCGTATAAATGAAAAAAATAATATTATGTATACATACTAGACTTTTGATCTTCCCATCCGTATAAATTGTATTTTAAAAAAAAAAACGTAATAGTATAGGTATACATATACGAAGGCTTTTGATCTTCCCATGCATGAAAGAATGATGATTTATGGGATCAATGCTTTGGGATAATCAATAGTTATAAACTAATTTTGGAGGGAAAAATGGCTATTAAGCCAAATCTGAAATGAAGGGCTTTACTGGTATTTCACCAGTGTGGCCATTGCTGGGCCACGGTGAGTTTGGCCAAATAGCAGCACTCTTATATTTTCCTAACAGCAGTTATTATCTCAATTGAATAGCGACGTGGAACTATGAGTGGTATCATCAAGTTACTGCCAAGAAATTAAGCAAAATGACTGCTTCCGTTTTCTTCGGAAATTTTGAAAGAAAGACCACAACCGTTGTCCCAATTATTAGCATACCATTGTAAGGAGATTAAATAATAACCCTTCTGCAATTTATAATCATGTACACATAAGTTGATGGAGGTACATTTATATAACTTTTCCTCCACAAAAAAATTTCCCTCATTATTGTCTTAGTTATTATGTCTATTAATTATAGTATAATTATTGATTCCCACATCTTACGATGTCATCCTTGCTATTGATATGAAAAAGGCATAGCAAAATAACTATTCCCTCCGCCTCATATTATTATGTGTCGTGTTTCTCTTTTCACTACTAGAAATTCGGTCAAAACCGACCGCGGCAAACCGATCGACTTCGGTCGATCAAAAAACCGACTGAAGTCGGTCGGTATTTTAAAATATTTTATTTTTACGAAACCGACCAACTACGGTCGATTTGTTTTTATGCAAAAATGCGGAAAATTATTTTGGCGTCCCGCAAAATTTATTATTTTAAGAAACCGACCAACTTTGGTCAATTTTTCATATAAAATAAATTAAAATTAATATTCAAAAAATCGACAGAAATCATTTGGTTATATCAGTCGGTCATTTTAAAAAACCTACCGATTTCAGTGGGTAAATTTATATTTTTAATAAAATCGACCGAAATCGGTTGGTTATTTTCGCGCGAAAATACAATTAAAGAGTACAAATAAAATAAAAGATAGTCTTAAACCAAAATGTACTAATGGTCTAGTGGTAGAATAGTATCCTGGCACAATGCATTTTTTAATTCTTAAACCAAAACGTACCAATTGGACGCTTGTGAAATTTTATTGACCGACCGAAATCGGTCGAAAATTGTGACAAACTTCGGTCACTATTTATTACCGACCAGCCTAATTTCGACGAATTAAAGTCGGTCAAAAATTGGTCATTTTTTCAGTTTTTTGACTGATTTCGGTCGGTATTTCTGGACGGGTTTAGGCAGTTTTCTAGTAGTGTTTGCACGCCCCTTAAGAAATATTAATTAGGAAAGGGGTTAGACTATTCTACCCTTATTTATATCTTAAGCTATAATCTCTCTTTATTGAATATTTATTCTATTTATGTGTTATTTCTATCTTCAAGAACAATTATTACTAAAGGTAAAAAAGAAAAAAAAATTAATTTTGTCTTGAATTTCTAAAGTAACAAATAATTTGAGATAACTAATTTTAGTAACGATAACTATTAATATGAGACGGAGAGAGTAGTACCTGAAGCGTTCTTTCTTCAACAAGTAGACACAGCAATGAAAATAACTCAAATAGCTTGCTTCTCTGCCGCCGTCAAATTCCCTACCCAAATTCCCTTTAACTCCTATTAGTATTAGAACCCGTGCGATGCGCGGATAATATTTAAAAAATATTAATTATGTCCAACGATAGTCTGACTTTGTTTAGCATATTAAATCATATTATTTTAACAAAATCGAGAATTTTGTATCTTAATGCAGTATACTCAAAAACAAAATAATGAAATTAAAGAAAACTAATTACATAGTCATTAATTGACTATTGTATTTCTTATTTTAATTTATTACCTTTTTGGATATTTCATATTATTACATTGATATAAAAGTTTCTATTAATGGCTTAGTATCCTTGTCCATTACCATTTTATATATCATCGATATATATTTTTCTTTCTCCTATTTCTTTAATTTTTAAAATTTTATTATATTGCTAATATTTTTTTTAAACATTTAAATATATAAATAATAATTTTGTATTTCATTATTTTATTTTATTTTTAAATATGAATATCCTAGCATTTTCTCTATCCCCCGTTTTGTATATTTGTTATACTATGATATATTGGTTTTCCTTATATATTCTTTTATCTAATGTTTTAATAATTTTTTATTTTGTATTATGTCAATTAAAAAAATATTTTTTCTTCTATTTTATTTTAATTATTAAAAAATTTCTATATGAGAAATTTCATTATATGTCTAATACTTTACTATGTTGCTCAAAAAATTTATTATTCAATATTTTTATTTTTGACTTTACTTATTGAGATTCGAGTTATGTAATATTATCCATTGTATGTTGTTGCTTATCACAAATCAAAAATAATTTCTTATCAAAAACTAAAATAAGTCTTATTCTTTCAACCTTTTAAACCATGTTAGTTCGTTGTTGCATTATGCAATACTTAGTCTAACTCTTAAATTTAATTTGTTTTCACACTCTTATTTTATAGCTAGAAATTCATTCATTATGTAAAATTCAATCGGTTGAGAAGGTTAAAAAAGGGTAAAAAGTAGAAGAAAATTAGGTAAAGCTATGACAGAACAACGCAAAATAATTTTTATTTAAAAGTAGTTTGACCTTTCTTTTTGTAGATGTACAATAATTTTGTAACTGTTGAAGTACTACTATTTAAATAATAAAAAAAGTAGTAAAAATAAATAAATATTATGAATAATTGTACTCCTGGTATACCAAATAAATAACGACTTCTTTTATTTGCAAAAGCAAAAAAATTACACAAAAAGGTTTGAAGATAAGCAAATAAGAATTAAGTCATAGTAAATACGAATTACAAACTCAATTCGACATCTTTTCTATACATAGATGGATCTGCCTTGCTTTCTCATTCCCGGAAAGAAGAGTATATACACATGAGTTTAAGCTCATACTCCCTAAAATCTCTCCTAAGAATATTCTAAAAATATCATATTCCTATAATATATCATATAATATCACATCTCTAACAAATATAGATACACAATATATGATTACTATATTTACAATTTTACACATTTACAGATCATATCTATAAGGTCCACTAAATTTAAAAAAAAATAAAAATAATATATATATATATATATATATATATATAAAATCAATAAGGTTCGCTAAATTTCTTTTGGCACGGCATCACCTTTCGTACTTTTACACTCTATGAAAATGGCATGGCATCACCCTTCGTGCTTTTACACTCACAAATGGCACGGCAATACCCTTCGTGCTTTTACACTCACAAATAGCACGTCAACACTCTTCGTGCTTTTATACTCACAAATGGCACGGCAACACCCTTCGTGCTTTTACACTCTTCCTTACTATGACAATGATATTATGAATAATTAAAATGACACGGCATCACCCTTCGTGCTTTTACACTCTTCCTTACCATGAAAATAATAATATAAATTCGGAAGAGTATTTAAATATGGGGATATACACTTATCAATCAATTCAATACCAGAATACCGACTTCACCTTCCAAAATATTCAGCAATAATTAAATGAATAATAATTTCACGACTAATGATCAAATAATCAATAATAAACTTAACCAGAAATATCTTAATTAAATAGATAATTATTCACAATAAATAAATTTTACCCGCATGCTTTGACTCAACCACAACGCATAAGTACTCGTCACCTCACATATACGTTGTAACCGCACATTAAATCATGTAGCAAATAGACAAATAAGTCCTACTCCCTCAAGTCAAGGTTAACCACAACACTTACCTCACTTGCAACCAAATTTAAGAATCCAATAAACCTTTGCCTCGCGAATTCGTGTCCGAAATCTTCAAATCTAGTCATAAACAATTCACTATACTCAATACAAATCGTAGGAATTAATTCCAAATGAATTTACTAATTTTCTCAATTAAAATTCAAAATTCATCTCAAAAATCAAAAGTGGGGCCCATGTCTCGAATCTCGAAAAAACTTACGAAATGCGAACACCCATTTCGAGATGCGTCCAACCATACAAAAATTACTAAATTTCGATGTCAAATGGACTTTCAAATCTAAATTTTTCGTTTTTGGAAAGTTTTAATAAAATTTCAATTTCTTGCATCTAAATCCGAAATAAGTGATGAATATAGACATGAATTTATGAAATATAAATACTTTTGGTTATAGAATACTCACCCAATTCAAAATCGTGAAAAACCCCTTTGGAATCGCCAAAATCCGAGACTTAAAATGTATAAAAATGAGAAAAATCTCAGACTCTTCGATTTATACACTGCCTAGGCATTTTAGCACCTGCGGTGCCTGGGCTCGCACCTTCGCATCCGCTTTTGTGGAAGGAGTTTCGCTTCTGCGAACCTCACTTGCCCAGCCTTCGCTTCTGCGATGCTTAGGGCCGAATTTGCGGCCGCGCTTTTGCGCAA